ACCTACTCACAACATTCTTACTTATCAGAATTTGGATTTTGGTCTTTTTAATCTGAAATGTTTAATAGGAAGGTGAGCTACACTAGTCTAGCAAAAATATCACACTAATTACTGATACGGAAATTGAGTGTTGGTAAAAAATAAAAAAATAACTAATGAAGCTCTTAATTTAAGTAAATTCATTTAATATAAAGAAAACCGTTTATTCCTTACTTACCATTATGAGTTTTCCAAAATCAACCTATAAAGACAGTTACTTCGATAATATTATGATTTTATTTACAAGTGAGCAAGAACAATAATTTTCCTTTTTACCTACTTACTAGAACCTCTATGGGTCCATAGGGATATTCCTCTACTCGTGAACCCAATATATAGATTTGTTAATTAACTTAGCCATCTCTATATCCCGTCTGGTAATGGGCGTCAAACACACAATCGTATCAATACTCTTCCGATATGGGAGTTCTTAGCCCTGTCCGACTGAGGTAATGTCCATAGTAGGGTTCCCTATATACCAGGTTTGTCCACTTTTTTTCAGGGTACTCAGTAAGCCTTTCTTACATAGAATCACACCACAAACTGATTATCAGTTACATACCAATATCTTATATTTACAAATCAATAGTAGGTCATACAAATAGACAATGCATACATTAAGAAACATAATTGAAGCATTTATTGCAAAACCAACCAACAAATGGGCGATATGCAGTGAAGTAAACCAAATAACCAAGAAAGCAATTAAAATTATTAATTTAGTACACACAACATAATAATGAGCATTTTAAGCAGTACATGAAAAATAAACAGTAAACCAGGGCAAATGTGAACTGACCAATTTCGACTCCATTAGTGACTTGTAATTATTCTTAAGATTTTTTAATTTTTACAAAACACAGTGTTATCAATTATTAAATTTTAATTTACTGTAACAGGGAATAGAGTGAGGGATCCTTTCCTGAATCGGTGTTTAAAATACCGCATAATCTACTGTGTCTCCTGGTAGTCCTCGAGTTTCATAGATTTTTTCTGTGGAAATTAAAACACCCATCATATATCCAAAAATACATCAAAAGTCTAAAATAGGTGTTTTAAAAATTTTCTGACAAATTTTAGGGTTATGGCACGGCGGCACTGCCGTGCTCCGGCACCGGCTCCGTCGCCTATGGTGACAGTTTGCCTTGGTCTTCCCAGTTTCGGCTGATTTTGGTTGATTTTATGCGTAAACCTATGGAAAAATAAGTTAGGAAGCCTTGGTTGGTCGGAAAAGGCAAAAAACCAAAACCTACCAACGGGTCTCCAGGTGCGGCGGCTCCGCCGATTCTCTTTCTCGACTAGGGTTCTTCTTTAACTAATCTGTATCAGAAAAGAACGGTGAACACAATGATTAAAAAATAACGTGAAATGGGAAACGAGAAGGGGGTTATCGGAGAGGATTTTGGATGTTTGCCACAGCGGTTCAGCCGAACTTTTACCGCAGTTTCTGGCTCACCAATCGATCCTTTAGCTCTGATATAGGTATGGGAAGGCTCAGGATTGAATTTTGAGTGGGAAGGGGAAAAAATAGTTGTTTTAGCATCACCGGTGGCTCGAATGTAGTGGCAACGGTGGTCGACTTCCTTTTCCAGCGTCTTATTCTTTTCCCAACCACCCTTCTTCTTCTTCTCCAATCACCCCTCTGTCGGCTAGGGTTTTGATTCCCTTCGAAAAGGAGTTTAAATACTCCTCCCCATTCAATCTAGGTCGCTTGTTTGAGTTAACGTGGAGCAAGGAGGAACATTCGATGATTTCCAGTTTAGGTTGATTGCGTAAATAAATTTGGGCCGTCCATCGCGATCAACCT